TAGGTTTAAGTAGATTATAAGGTACGATGGGACTGACATGTACTTGGTATAAAAGTCTCAAAAAGAAGAGAAAAAAAAACGATTACTTGTCCACGTAAAATAAATTAAGGCATCAAGATTATTTCTTATTAGTTGTAATCTAATTACACGAAGAAGTTCGACGAATTATATGAAGTTACATGTCGCAATTATGAACGAAAATAATTAATATTAATAATTAATATTTTTAAGAAATATTTATTTATATTTCTTAAAAAAATGTGGAAGTAAAAAAAGGAGGTAGGACAAAAAAACATCATTATAGACGCTCGTTTCTAACAGAAAGGATAACTAAATGTAATCGAAATAAAATCATCATTAAAATGCTGAATTTAACATTTATTAATAACATTTACATACATACATTTATATACCTAAATACAATGACTGCGTTTTATAGAAATGTCCTTATCGATTTAAAAATACTCATAAATCTCACTCGGCCCAATATTAACGCAGGATTATCATCTCTATATGTACGGAACCAGGGTTGATGTGGATGGACTCAGGAAAAATATACTCGAACACGGTTTTAAATTAATAAACTTTAATGGGTGCTAACTACAGCAGTTAAGTATAGCAAGTGGGGTAATTTTCAGATTTCTTCATAATTTATACATTTCATGAGCGTAAGTTGTTGCTCTGAAAAAACCATCAGGCGCGCGAACATGCCCCCGGGCGTTGAAAGCAACGGTTTCAACCAAACTCCGAAGTCACAGGTAGTGGGCCGACTCGATTGAATGCCCATCGTACGATGCCAGTGGCCGTCTGGCTGTCAGCAACACAAGCGATGTCGTCTGTTTCTGGGTGAACCGCCACCACACGGCCTAGTCTCCACTTCAACGGAGGGAGATTATCCTCCTTAATCGCCACTAAGGAGTCCAGCTTCAATCCATCCTTGCAGGAACAGGATAATCAGGTTGCAGCAAGGTTACGCGTCAGCGGTATGCAATCTGCAGGATCTGAAGATAAGGCGTTAGTGGATGAAAGTTCGAAATGGCTTCGATTTTAGTTAGTGTGGTGTACAGTTTATTAAAAGTTTAATTACAATATCCCAACACTCGCTTGACGATGTACCTTGTTGACTACACTCGCCTCCCAGAAGGTACCGAAGTGCGGGATGTACGCAGGGATAAAAATGAAATTTAATTCCATCATTCGCGGCACTTTCACCCAAGGCCAAAGTATTTTCCTTTACAAATGAGAAAGGTCATTGCACGCACCGATAAATGAGATACCGTTGTCCGAAAAAATATCAACGGGCTTATGTACCTCCTCAAGCAATCAATCGATGCAACGCTAGTAAATAACCCTTACTAATTAAATCGCCAACGAGTTGACACCAAATGAATGGGTTTGATCGGAAAACATATAAAAAATCCTACATGCACCTTCACCAGCCCGAATCCGCAACCCCGACGACTAGCACACAATAATAGGCTCGGCATAACCAACGCCGGTGCTCTCAAAGGGATAACCTGGACGAAGTCGTTCTCGTGGTAAGTTGCCCAGTATAGGACTAACTACCCGTCCCTTCATGCGGCGACATGGAACACACTTATGAGTACAAGTCTTCGCCAAGTTGCGACCTTCTTGGTCAGTACGATTCCCTTATGGGAGCTAATAGCAAATGTGGGCCAGCGTGCATCAATCATATATGCTCGAAATTAAACAATAATTTTGTAAACTGATGAGTGGACTGTAATGAGATAAGGTGGGTTTTATTAACATGAAACAAAAAATAAATGTATTGTTTCCTATATGATTAAATAAATCTTAAAGTAAATAAATTATAATAACGACTAAAATAAATGAAAGCACTAATGTAATCACTTTTCGTATCAATGATAATAAATCGCGTTCACTATGCCTAGCCAAGGACTCGCTCGGAATTTTAGGAAACCCTAAATCATCGGAAGCGGGATACCGACCCACACCAAGTAACTTGTCGGGCTCGTGAGGTGCAATATCTACGTCAATCGAAGCAGGCAAGTCCCGCGAGACTAATGATTGGCAACAGTGTGTTGCTTTCTTGAAAGAATCTCCCAGAATTGAAGGTTCTTTCTCACATAATCTTTGTTCTGGCAAATCAAATGAACTAACATATTTATGATCATGGGAAACATCTTTACAAAAATTACATTTTAAATCATTAGTAAGAATTGGACCGGAAACTATCCATCCTAAATGGGTTTTATATAATATTGGCTTTCCATTACCTAATTCTAATTTTTGTGATCCTAATAACTTCCAAAACAGATCAGCGCCGATTAATAAATCAACATCAGCGGGTTCATAAAACTTAGGATCAGCTAAAGTGATATTCGAAGGTATATCGAAATTATTAATATTTATTTCACGGCACGGTACCTCACTCGTGATAAATGGCAAAACCAAACAATGAAGGTTGAAATTAAAATGATCATCCAAAGACGTCATATCAACTCGACATGTTTTACCTACGTGCGAAGAAACATTATTTATGCCAAGTATAGATTTGTTTACCTGGCTCGTGAATAAATTAAGTTTTTTACATAACCGTTCCGTTATGAATGACGAAGTGCTACCGCTGTCTAGGACCGAGCGAACGACATGCACACAGCCAGTTTGATCCCGTAGTTTGACCAATGCGGTCGATAGCAAAACATCACGCTGCGTATGACCTTGAGAGGATGCAATGTGTGCTGACAACGTAACGTTATTCGTGTCTGTGGTAGCAGACGGTACGGATGATGAAGACAAGTTATTGTTAGACGAATTGCCACTGTGTGTATTTGCGATAATGTTATCTTTAGAATTGATGTGAATTAGTGTGTTGTGCCTACGCTTACATAGTTTACAACCGGCTTTTTTACATTTGTTAGCGAAGTGACCTGACCGAAAACAATTAAAACAAATCTTATAAGTAGGTAGAAGTTTAATACGAGCATCAACGCTTAATGCGAGAAACTGTGGACAATTATTTAATGTGTGATTACTGTTACATTTAGGACATACTTTGGGAGCTGTTTCGATGCTGGGACTATTATGAGGTTGATTAACCAACATCGACTTGATCTTAGGGTTGGATCTACCTGCCGTTTGCGAATTATTATTATTAGTTTGAAGGCGTTCTAAGTTCTCGATCAAATCGGCTCGAGTGCGTAGGAATTGCATGAACATATCGAACGTAATCGAACTTTCTTTGTCAATCCTACCCTTAAACTCCTCCCATTCACGATAGGTCCTATGATCAATTTTTTGAGTGACGTGGTATATCAAAAAAGTGTCCCAGTGCTTTACAGGCTCACCTAACGACTCTAATGCTCGCAAGTCCTTATTTAATTGATCGATTAATCCTTTGAGAGCAACCGACGATTCCTTTGTAACCGCATCAATGTGATACAAGGCAGACACATGATTTTGCGCTAATAATCGTTTGTTGTCAAATCGATCGAGTAACAAACTCCATGCCACAGAGTAATTGCTCGAAGAAAACTCAATTGACTTGATGATGACGGCAGCAGGTCCCTCAAGAGAGGCTCTTAGGTAGTGGAATTTGTTAACCTCATCAATTTCGTCGTTACTGTGAATTAGACTAGTGAAGGTATCACGAAATTCCAACCAATTGCAATATGACCCGCTAAACTTTGGTAATTGTATCGTTGGTAATTTTACTGGTTTGTGTATGCTAGCAAGTGTACTCCTACAGCTTTCCATCGACTTATCCTCTTTGTTACTGTCATTGAGAGTGGTTTGCGCTCTGGACAACGCTTTGTAATAAAGTGACTCGAACTCGGTACGCTCGGAATTATGTACCTTAATATCGTCAGCAATGCATTCCAGACGCAACTGCACCTCATCATATTGTTCGTACAATGACTCCATCTTACCCATGCGCAACTGCAACTCGGACACATCACAACTACTTAATACTTTGTCCTTGAGTGAGTCCAGGAAGGTGACGAAAGCAGTCAAGCGACCCTTAAAGCTGCCGCGCTTTTTAATTAAATCCCTTTCCTCGGACATACTGGGAGATGAGTATTGTCAACCTGGAATAGATACAGGAATACAATTAAACCTAGCAAACAATATGACTAAGACACACCTAACTGTGTTTTATACACTGCCCAAATGCTTTTATAAAGCGACACAGAACCTACAAATTAATAACAATTACAAAATAAGTAAATTAATATTGTATAACTTTTCGTAAAACTACCTACAATTTATTCAATTAAAATACTAATTCCTACTTATTACATAAACGATTCTAAATTACTAATAACTTGTTGAATTTTTACAATGACTTGCACTAATATCTAACACTCAAATTATTTGTATTATGTCAAGATACCTGCTAATAATTATATCTACTAAGTAGTTATAAATTATGTGAAATAGTTACAGCTTTGATTAAATTAAATTTAAATAATGTAGCAATTAACTAACTATACTGCAGTGAGTATAATTTAAACTTAAGATTTACTGTTAAAAATACTAATCACAATGTAAAAGAATATCTAATGATTCTAATGATCAAACAAATACAATAAGTAGTTAAATAAATATTACTGACCTTAAATATAATTTACTTATATACTACCTGAGTGTTGGGTGATGATATTAGTTATTTAAAATACTGTACACCGCTAAAACCATTTGTTCGAACTCAATCCAATCCACCGGCAAATCTCCACGTCACGGTGGAAAATTTCAGTACTTGATTCCTCTTCAGATAAAATCGCTGATCTCCTCTTTAGTTAGTGTCATCCGGCTCGAAGGACCATGTACGGAACCAGGGTTGATGTGGATGGACTTCAGGAAAAATATACTCGAACACGGTTTTAAATTAATTAACTTTAATGGGTGCTAACTTCAAGAGTTAAGTATAGCAAGTGGGGTAATTTTCAGATTTCTTCATAATTTATACATTTCATGAGCGTAAGTTGTTGCTCTGAAAAAACCATCAGGCGCGCGAACACTATATCAAAGACGACAAAGTACAAAATTAAATAAATTAAAACTTATTGAATGCTGTATTGTTGTCATTCCACGTGTCTATGTACTCTTGCCTGATGGTCTTCACATCAGCCGTGGTAGCAGACGTGATGCTGACAGACCTGAAAGAAAGAAAGAAAGAAAGAAAAAGTATTTATTCGCGTCTGGGACGCATAAAAGACACAAAACGAACAAGATAATAAAATAAAGTTAAAATAAAAATACATTGAGCAAGGTAAAAACAATATCACAAAAGTAGACGGTAGGAGAAAAATATGCGTCCAAGCACGCGAAATGGCCCACGCTCAGCATAATGCAGCGACCCCGTACGAGACGGGTTCGCGGCGCTGATTTTCAGCGATGGCCGTCACTAACGCATGACGCCAATCTGTGCAGAAACTTAAGGTAAGAAAATAAGTATTTAACTTATTTTCTACTGAAATATGTTTTTTATAATTGTTAGAATAATAAACTACTACAAAAAAATAAACTGCTTATGATAAAAAAAAATAGAGTAAAAAAAAAACCAGAAAAATAAAGTACCAAACAATAGACGCCTATGTGACATTTGTCAGTGGCAACACTGAACGAATGAAAGCGACGCTCGCGCCTCCAATCCATTCGATCTGTGCATTCGATCAAAAAGTCTATAAGTCTATTCACCATTCTCTGTCCACGTGCCACAAACAATTTAATATAGTAATTTACAATTTGTATTTGTATTACGTAATGGCGACGCATACTAATAATTATTATGCAATCCGTCATATAAATGTTATGGAGATAAGTGATTTAAATATGTTGTGTTGTGAGTTAAAAAGAATATGAATTGTGTAATGAATGTAGTTGCAAAATGTGACTATGGAGGACTATCGAATTCTACCAGGATGATTCAGGTAAGTGATATTTTACCCATGCACGCCACTATTGGATTAATATGGATTTATACACAACCTAAAAATCCGCATCCAAGGCCACCCACTGACCAATTCCTCAGCATTAGTTATAAAATTATGATGAATAGTATTAATTTTGTGTTAATTATTTGATAAGTCGAGGTTTTATCGAGTCATTATAATTCAATATGAAAATTGACTTCAGATTGGTAAACAAAACAAATTAAAATAAACAAAATAATTGCATAGATGAATTAAAGATAGATGTAAATTATATAATTAAGGAATTAAATTGATAAAATTGATATTGCAGACAAGAAAATGGGAAAAAAACACAGTACCAATGACACTCATGAGGAACAAAGGCTTGAGTGGACGGCAACCCACACTGCAGGAAGTGATCCCCAATCCGGAGCATGCGTGCCAAGACCCCCGAGGTATGAAGCAATGTCACAAGTTGAGGCTCACTTGCTGATGTAGTAGAAACTTTTTAAATTGTGCCTTAAATGCATGTTTTGTTTTCAGGCACCGAAGTGGGGGAGGGAGATCATTCCAGCAGCGCGTAGCCGCAAACTTGAAGCATCCCCTGAATGCCACAGTATGATGCCTAGGAGCGGCCAATGGACACACTATGGAGCGAAGACCATGCCTCATCTGGCTGTGTTTCCAGGTCAGTTTTTTAAAAAGATATTCCGGTGCCTGTGCCTCGACAATGCCAAACAACAAATTGGCCAAGTGGAGCCTTCTCCTAGCAGCCATCTTCAGTAGCTTTAGTTCATTTATATATGGAGTAACATGACTTCTTCGTGGTATATTTATGCAAAAACGAACACAGGCATTTTGGATTCGCTGGATAACGCGCTCCGTTCTAGAGAGAAGGCACGGTCCATATACTATATCACAATAGTTTAATTTTGATAGGATGAGGCTGTCAACAAGTTGTTTGCGCAACGGAATGCTCAGATATTTCCGTATTCCATATAATACCTTTAGCCTGTAGAAGCAGTTTGCCAAGACTCTTGTTACATGAGCCTCAAAACGCAGCTCGGGATCCATAGTTAGACCTAGACTGCATGCTTGCTCAACTCTCCCGATACTTTCCCCCATAATAACTATTCTAGGGTTGGCCGACTTAATAGTTTGCACCTGGTTTCTGGAGCCTAGAACCATGAATTTTGATTTAAGCGGGTTAAGGACCAGTGAGTTCGATTCAGACCATACAACCACTCTGTGCAAATCCTCATTGATTTTCTGCACCGCTTCATGTGTTTCACTGGCCTTGAATGTCAAGTAAAGTTGTATATCATCAGCATACATATGATATTTACAATGAGCAAAAGACTTGACTATATCTGCGCTGTATAAGATATACAGCAAGGGCCCCAGAATCGATCCCTGGGGAACGCCCCTGGACACGCTGAGGGGGGATGATGCCACCCTCGACCCATCCTCTCTTTGCATCTCCACAAATTGGGACCGGCCTGAAAGATAGCTCTTAAACCACCCTACCGTGTCCTTGTCGAAACCATAGAAAGCCAACTTAGACAGAAGCAGAGTAGTGTTAATAGCATCAAAAGCACGGGAATAATCAAGTAGAACCAAGATTGCACCCTCCCCCCTGTCCCGTGCCTCAAGAATATTCCCCACTACATCGGCCAGAGCTGTTGCAGTGCCCCTTCCCTGCCTAAATCCAGATTGTAGATCAGGAAGAATATTATTAGTTTCAAGGTATTTAATAACCTGTGAGTGCACTATCCGTTCTAAGATCTTTGAAAGGCAGGGCAGTAAGCTGATTGGTCTTAGATCCTTTATATTAATTGGACTGGTAATTTTGGGTATTGGTCGTACAATAGCGCATCGCCAGAGTTCAGGGAATGTGTATGTCATTATTGAACAGTTGATAATATCTGTGATGGCTTGTAAGGAAGTTGGTAACGTAAGTCTTATCATTTCCAGACTAATGCCATCGACACCCTGTGCGTTCGACTCCAGGCTTTTAATTATCTTGAGGACTGCCCCAGGATTGGTAGCTGACAGAGAGAACGTAGCATCGCTAAACCTATGCGACTCAAAGAAAGAAGACTGCGAATTATTCAGATCACAATTGCCGGGAACATCCAGGAACGCCGCATTGATATCGTCAGGGTTGTCAAAGTACCCCGGAAGGAGTCTTTGTTTGTGGTCAGGCAACACATCCGCTTTTAAATTGCGCCATAATAATTTAGGGTCCCTGATGTTGTTGTTAATGCTTTCTGTGAAATAAGCTCTCTTCTCGTTAGCCAATGCCGTGATGGCCAGATGCTTGAGCTCCAGGTAACTGTTCTTGTGTTCCGGCAACTTCGATCTGCGAAATTTGTCCCTGGCCTTATCTCTCAGTTTTGACATTAGTCTGATGTTGTCAGTGATCCATGGGGTGGGACGGGATCTAAATGTTTTAGTTCTAATGGGAGCATGGAGGTCGAACAGTTGGATTACAAACGAGTTGAATGTTTGGACCATTGAGTCAACATCATTCATATCACCCACTGTAGACCATGGAATGCTTTTTAAATCCCTGTCGAAGTAATCCTCCAAGATGTCTTTGAGAGGGCGATATACCACTGATCTAGGTCGGCATTTATGTCTCTTGAAGACCGTCTCGCAAGTAATAAATGCATGATGGCTAAGTTCACTTATATGATTGACCTCTACATTGCGGACTGGAGCATCAGTGCAGATAACGTCAATGAGCGAGCTACTATCACCTATAAAGTGCGTAGGGGTTGTGACCACTTGAGTCAAGTTGAGATAAGTCACAAAGTCTGCGAGTTCTTTGGACTTTGAGCTGTTGACGTCCTCCATATTGACATTGAAATCCCCTAACAGTATAAGGTTATCGAAGGGGGCCAAACCACCAATGCTTTTAGTCAGTCCATCTAGAAACGACTCCAGTTCCAACCATGGTGGGCGATATGCAGTACCAATAAGCAATTTGATTCTATGTACCGTGAGAGTTAACCAGAGCTGTTCGACATTAGCGTGTTCAGGGTGTGCTCTGACACGTGCAGGAATTCCATTTCTGATGTAGAAAGCGACCCCCCCGCCACGCCCCCCACGTATAGACAATGGTCGCGGGATGTGCTTCAGTCTATAACCTGGTACGCTAGGCGCCCGGTCATCCTCACCCCTGCGCAACCAAGTTTCGTTGACAGCCATTATGTCCACTGGGTGATTTCCCATTGCAACCAAGAATTCATCCTGGTTAGTCCCTACGGAGCCCGCATTCAACAAACCAAACCTAATACGCTTATATCTAGTCATTTGTATTCAATGAGTTACAATGTTGTGTGTAATGTAAATATAACTTGTAGTATCTAGTATATAATGTAATATGTATAGTATATAATATTAATATATATGTATATTTAAAGTATATTATCTTGTTTGTAGTAAGTGTAAACAAATATATTATGTAAGGTACGGTAATTGATATGGGAAGTATAGAAATAATAGTTATGTAATTTTTTTGTATTTGGTTAGTGTATGTAATGGTACCATGTAGACCGTAAGTATGTGTGTAAGCAAGTGTCAGCTGCGACAGAATATGCGCGTCAGCCAACGCGTAAACCCCACGACTTGGATTGTTTAGACGCATATTTTCCTCCTCTTTGATACTAGATAAATAGTCGTTATGTACAAACACAAAAATAAAAAAATAAGATTGGTTATATTGTTTCCTTATTGACAGGTCCAAAAACCCTCTCAATGTCCTCGTCGGTGCTGATCCTTTGAGTGGGATCACCTGGGCTCCGCCTTGCAAGAACGCGCCCCCGCTTGGTCCACACAAATCTCCAATTGTGGAGGCGAGCGGCATCTCGGGCCATCCGAAACAACCGGCGATTCGTCCTCGTGAGGCGCTCGTTGACGAAGAAGCGCTGCGGCGGGCCGGGCGTGCCGAGGTCGGCGGTGGTCGCACCACGCCGCACGCGGGCACCAGCCAGCAGCTCGTCGCGCAGGTCGCGGCGCGCCAGGCGCACGGCTATGGCGCGCGGCCGCGTTGCTGCCGGGCCGGCTGAGCTAGTAGCGTTGAGTTGCTTGCCTCCGACCCGCTCCGCGCTGACGATGTCCCGCTCCTCCAGCTGCACCCCTAACTTAAGGCCCACTGCTTTAGCTATGTGGATCGGGTTTTCAGAAGGAGCCTCCGGTACACATGTAATCTCCACGTCATTTGCCAGTAGGTCCTGATCCCGATCGTTTAGCTCACGCCTCAGCTCCTCCACGACCTCGTCCGCCGACGAACGACCCACAGAAGTCCGCTGCTCCAGTGTTATTATTCTGGCTTCGAGGCCATCGATGCGCACGTTGCAGCTGCTCACTGAAGACACGAGTTGCGCCATCTCCAATTCCATCTCTTTGCGGAACTCTTGGATCTCCGCTCGCATCGCCCTCAACTCATCCATGAGCATTCCCATATCAGGGTCTGTGATAGGGGAAATTTCCCGTGCCGCGGTGGCTGCTGAAAAGGCACCCCTACGTAGTGGCGTGGAAGCAGACGACGGGCTAGTGCATTGTTGCTCAACCACAGGACTAGAACAACTGGCGTTCAGCTCATTAGGCGCGAGGGCCACTAAACAAGTTTGTGTCGTAGGATCTCCGGCTGCGCTAGCCGGGCCTCTGACCGGAGTCTCCGCCCTGTTATCCCTGACCAGGTTTTTTTTACACTCAGGGCAGCGCCAAGATGCTGGGATAGCTACATCCGGCTTGAAACCAACGCATCCTCTGTGGTATAGTCGCCGACACTTACTATTAGCACACTTGACGCCCTCTATAGCAGAAGCAAAGCGATTGCAACCCGCGCACTGAATACCTGGCATTGTAGTAGGCGAAAAGGTAAAACCGCGTCTTAGTTAGTTTAGTGCAAAATCACTAGATGGCCACTGGTCCGATATCAATCGATGAGTTTGGTATGATGTTAATAACACTGACCAAAAAAAGAGGGTAGAAATTAAATATATTTAGTCACTGTGTTCTATTTATTTCCTTTAAATCCCTTTATGCACTCAATCCACTGCCGACTCCAATATATGTCACTTTGCGCCGCACTGTGTTTACAACAACGTAAGTATATAAATGACTACTATGTTCCACGAATTATTAATAAAAAGCAAGACGCGCACGAACTGCACCGACAGACGTCAAACGTCAGATTTTTTTTGACCTGGACTTCTTGTCACACTTGATGAACGGCTTTATGAAGTAACGCCAAGTCTTACCGAAGATCTGCATTAGACCTATCACGGAAAGACCTAGAAGAAAGCCCTGGAAGGAATATAAAATATTATGTATAAATGGGGCAAGTAAGTAAGTAAGGTGTGGGTGAGCCAAGCTTCGGCATAAAGAGGCCATAGAGAATATCGGGGTGTACCAAGGCAACGCATTTGCAACTCCTTTGGTGTTGTACTGAACCGATTGCTAACCATCTAATAATACGTCTCGACGATATCACATATTACATAAATTATGTATACGAACTACAGATGTTAAACTTCAATCATCAGTTATTTGCATCATAAAATATTTGTTTTCATACATGATTCAGTTTCATAAATATCTCATTAATAAACATAATAAATAGTTTGTCGTTATAAATTGTCTGTATCAAATATCTATGGGCTTTGTCTGCCTGGATTACCTGATGGTAAGCAATCAGCTCCGCCCATGGACACCCGTAACAACGGAGGAGTTACGACTGCATTGTTGACCTTTTAGGGATTATAGATTTAGTGCATTTTGGGATTGGGGAGGATTGGGCCTCCGGTAGCCTTACTCACACGGCGAAACACAACCCTTATACAATAAAAGATTCTTACCGATGCATCTTTTTATAGTGTTGGAATAGTAACTTCTCAAATAAAATAGGCGTATTGTAAATTCTAGTCATTAGCTGAGATCTGATTCTTACTGGATAGTTCTTGCTCAGTTCCAACGCAATCACGATCTATTCTCATACAGACTATACGTAGATACTAAGAAATTAGCTTTTTCATCCACACATACATTACGAAAACAAACAATATGAGATATAACTCGACCTCGGAATATACAAACTAAACGCTAAAATAACTAAATCAAAGAGTTAAGGAGTCTGCAGACTAATCACGATTCATTCGGTGACATTTGTATTGGATTAATAATATCTCCTGATATTTTCTATCTCTCCTAAAAACAAATTTGAAAATGTGTATTCGTGATTTACAGATTTCGTACGTGAGTCTCATTTTTTGAACTAATCTAAGTAAAGTCTGTAACCTAAATTTCGATATGAGTGTTCCAAAAAAAAAAAAAAAATCTACCCGGAGCTTCTTTATTCGACAGTTTGACTAGTATACAATCTTCAAATCTATATCATCGACCAAAAATGCATTCGATCCGATTTTCCATTTTCCATCCGATTTTATTATAACAATAATATATTAATTTCAACCCTTCACGGACTCGTTTTAAACTTAACACTATTATTCTAGTGAATACTTAAGCAGTACAAATATTTTATTCTACAACCAACTACAAGAATAATACTGACATATTTCAAGTGTGTGCGTTCAACAAGTTTTCATTCCAACGACACGGAGTTACCTAGTCTCTGAAATACCGGCTGAACGTGGCACCGCGCCAGCAACCAGCCCGCTGTAATCAATGGCAGCGTATCTATCTCATCGAGAGTACAAGGATGTTTGTTTAACGCCCAGATTGGCAGAGCTTAAGGATTCACCGATTGGCAATTATGATGATACAGCGGTTGACGACGAAACTTGCTGTCCAACAAAGTTTATTTTAGGGCTGATTTTTCAATGGTTAGATAAAAGTTACCTGGGGAATTATTATGATGCTGTCGCATCAGAGTGTCTGTATAAGACAGTGACAGCAACAATTTTATTCCTCAAATAACATTTATCTGACTATTGAAAAATCAGCCCTAAGTAGGTCAAATTTTTTTGGAGGGTTTTGAATATATTTTATTTAAAATTGTTGATTATATATAATGGTTGTGAGTCTTTCTTCTTTTCTGTTATCTGAAGGTATGTTTGACGAAACGCTTTTGTGAATTATCATAAGGCAATTACAATGGCATTGTATTTTCCACCCAATTTTTCTCTAGCCATATAGTGGGATAAGATAAGATAAATAGGTAGTTTATTTCGACAAGGAGTGTTAAACTCTTACTGACTAAAAATCCCCCCAAACCCCATTCCGTCTGACGCTCCGGGATGGGGGAGCGGTACATATCGCCCTTGCAAACTCAGCCTCAGGCATTTGAGGTTAATATTGAGTGCAAAATGGACTGGCCTGTTACATAGAAATTATATTCAACAGAGAATACTTACAATACTACCTCCAAGGTCCGACACAAAGAGGTTCCAGTCGTAATTGTAGCGCTCCTCGTACACAGAGACCATCATACTGTTGAAGTTTACGTATAACTATGGACACAGATAAAAAAATCATAATAAAAACAATAAACTAAAAAAGAATATGTTTTAAAATGTAGATACGTACAAATTAAGTTTGTTGAAGTAAAAAGACTATTATAGATTAGTTGACTGCTTGTCGATGTGGGAACCTCCTTTTTTTAAATAAATTAAAAAGATAATTCAAAATAAGACAATTTTAAATTGAGAACACTGTTAAGTTGGCCTTAAATACTTTTCAGCAAATATTTAATAGTAACTTACATGTGTTTCCAAAGCTGCGGCACCATTGGCTGTCGACCACAACTTGGTATTGCTGTCCCAAAAATAATACTTCTGTCTGTCCGTCACGAAACCGTTGTATAGGAGCGAGCGACAGATACGAGGACATGTCGTACAGTTGTGTGCCTCAAAGATGCTGGAAAAGTAAAAATATAACGTTACCCATAATTAAAAGCTACTTGTTTAATTGACAATTCTTTTTTGAGGAAGAAGTCTTCCTATTGGATTGTCAGACCCACTGACTAAAAACCACCTTTTTTTGTCAGGAGAAAATCATCTAATGACTTCTCCCGCCCAGGCTGTCAGACTCTTACTGACCAAAAACCCCCCTGTTCCTTCTCCTGCTTTGGGCCGAGGTCGCGGTGCCTCTTTGCGCTTACTCCGCAACCCCGGCTGAACATCAACCCTATAGGGTCCCGTCTGTGGTGGTCTATTGGCTCTTGGAGGTGCGAGCGGAACTCTACGCGGCGTACGCGACTAAAAACCACCCAGTGTCTTGTACCTACTGGTCTGAAGCAAGACGTTGTGCTAGACCCAATCCTTTCCCCCACCCCATCCTCAATCCTCTTGAATATCTAATAAGCCACAAGAGACTTGTGGGTACAAGTGAGAAAGTCGCATTGGTACTTGTCAGGTTTCGTGCCCATAGCTTCATGCATGAGAAGCGGGCGCCTTAATCTCTGGGCCACCAGGACACGGCATAAAGATATATGGTCATATGGAAAGTAGTGATAAACTTGTATAAAACCAAAAAATTCTCACTTCCTGTATTTAACGATAAGGGCCCTCATAGTGGTATAGTTATTACAACGAGGCAATGGACTCTCTATCCATGGGCCTGAACATCCGACTGCTTCAGTTGCCAGGTGCCATACGTATCTAGTGGTACACTGAAAGAAAAAAACATTTAATATCAATTAGTTAGTGGTATTTCTCTAAACACACGAACAATAATTTTATTTACTTATGCACACAGCTATTTACAAGGTAACTCGTCTAGTTTCAAGTTACACTAGGAGCGTATAATCATTAACAGCATAACGCGACAATAGCCCGTGTAAGCTTCGGGCATCCAAGTGTACCTTAATTAAATAGTGACATTATAAACCTTTTAGAATTTTATTTATTTTATTTGAATTCAAAAACCGGTCAAGTGTGTGTTGGACTCGCCCACGAAGAGTTTCATACCAAAATTACGGTTGTTATATGGGAGCCCCCTTTTTATGTATATTATTTAGTTTGTAATATTGGTGGTTATAACAGCAACACAAACGTTATCTTAACTTAACGATAGCTTAACTGAAGCTTGAGTGACAGACAGTCAGTTAGAAAAAGGAATCATAGTAATAGGGTTTAGGCCAAAAAGCTGGTCTGGTCATCCTATTTAGGGATCTCCCTAAATAGGATGACCAATGTTTATGGGACAACACCTTCGGGTTGTATATACAGTGGGATGACGTCTGTTTGTTAATAATGTTCTTACTACATATTAGAACGGAATGGGGGCCCAAAGTCTTCCACCCTCAAATCCCTTACTCTCAAAAGTCCGACATATCTTACTGGCAACAATTTTGGTGCTGCGGGTGTCCATTTGCGGCGCTAATTACTTTCCATCAGGGCATCTCCCTGATCGTTTGTGACCCTAATCCCAAAAAAAATTACATTTACTGCAACTGCCTGTAATTCTGCCCAGACAATTTAGAAACTATAAATCGTATTAAATTATTGAAGCCATTAATTTCTGTGTGCAATGTGAGAATTTATGTCAAACGATTATTTCTGATGGTAAAGATATTTCATCGGAGTTTGATAAAATGTTTCCGAGAAATTTCATATTTTGCTAATATGAAATGTTATTTGACGAAATTGTGCAGTTACAAGTGACTGTGTAGATCAAAGTAAAATTCATGAAAACTTTTTTTTTTTAATTTAAAAAACGTTGCCCCACACTAGGATTTTCTCCTGTCGTGGGTGCGGTTACAAACATACAATTTCACGTGCACATGACACCCAGACCCGAAACAACAATTTTTGGATCACACAAAGAGTTGTTCCGTGCGGGAATCGAACCCCCGACACGTTGCATGGCAGCCAGTTGCCCAGCCACGGCACCAACCGTGCAGTCACAAGTGACTGTGTAGATCAAAGTAAAATTCGTGAAAACGTTATACTGACTCAATTGTAACATTAAAATTTTACTGAAGAAATAAGTCAATTATTATGTTGGTACATTGATAAGTTACCTTATAGTTCGTTCCATAATTAGAGACAACGATTTGACATTTCGAGTGTTGCAAGTTTTTTCCATTTCATAAATAGTGAAGTCCCGCGACCGGTATTAACCGAAAGACCGAAATTAAATTATGGACTTCGTGCATTTTAAAAGCTTTATTATTTTTAGCTACTTTCCCTGGTACCTTCCCGTGCCCACACTAACTCAGCCGGGTTAAAATCACAATGGTAAGGAGGCAAAAGTAAAATAGTGACCCCCCTTTTAGCAGCCATCAGTCCACGACGTATCATTCATAATTACTCTTCTCTTTCCGAGAAATCTCCAACAGCTCGGCTTGCAGCATAGGTTCCTCAAATATAATGTTTTTCTTTTAGCCAGTCTTGGATTTTGCATTTTTATTTTAAATTATTATATTAATTCGACTAAACTATATAAAACATCACCGCAACGTTGTTTTATTTTGCTCAGGGTATTTTATAAAAAAACGGTATCGGTATTTTATTTAAAACATCGTACTTGGGCCCATTACTATGTTGTAAAATCTGGCCACATTATTTTGTAGTTTGACATTTGCTGTTGTCAAATTTTTGTCTCTAATTATGGAACGAACTATAGTAACATTTTTTATCAGACAAGCCCACCCCACTTACCCTATCATGGCAACTCCTATAACCCAATATCGACAGTTGGAACATGCATAAGAATACCGAAACATTCAAGTGCGACCCGCTGGGGCTAAATAAGTCAAAGCTTTAAGCGGTATATTCCATAAACAGACACTTTCGTTCACACATCCGTTCTTTTTGTCTATTTAGCCCGTCCGGCAGCGAAGCTGAATGGTGTCTTGGATCTTATAAAGAATTAATCAGAAGATATGAATGTAGAAGAAGATCCAGTTCTCAGTTGTGTAAAACTTTTCTCAAGTGAATTAATCACTTGAGAAAAGATTTAGAATACTTTTGATTCAAAAACGTTTCATAAATGTGAAGCAAATACTGAATGAAAGGGAACGTATAAATAAACAGAAAGGAATGTATGAACAATAAAGAGTGAAGGGAAAACGAATGAAGATAGAGATAAGATGGAAGACGTGAGACGAAAGGACGTATACTTACATACGACGTATTTTTTTCAAGATTTATACAACTATAAAAGTTTAATAGGAAATAAATCAATATCTATATACTATATCGTTTTATTTTGTAACTAATTACCTCATTAGCGCTATAGTTGAACCTGTTGATGCAAGGATCATCGCTGCTGCTGATCATCTTGTACTCGTCCACCGTCACTTTCACCCTCAGGGTCTCTCCCACGTTCAAATACAAGTACTCCACCATCCCACCGTTGTACACTCTTACTTCTAAGTTGTCAATTTAAATGCATTAGTTCATCATTATCTAATATACATATCTACTTAATATATAATTTATATTTGAGTGATAAGAAGCCTCTATATCGATTTGGACAAGTCTATAAGGATATTGTTGGCAATAAAATAAATAATTCATCAGCCTGATTCCGTCCACTGCTGGACATAGGCCTTTCTAATTGCACGCCACTGAGCTCGATGTTCAGCTCTTCTCATCCAACCACTGCCAGCCACCCTGCGGATATCGTCACTCCACCTAGCTGAAGGGCGTCCTACACTACATTATGCATTCTCCATACTTAAATTTATTTTCCAAATCCTAAATTGCAAGTTTCTCCATCTTTTTTTTATTTATTACTTGTTACGATATAATACTTCTACTAATATAAGCTTCCCGATATTTTGCAATCATGGTGGTCAATCCAACTAAACTAGTTTACTATGCAGGAACTATCATAGTGCACAAGTATGTGCGCAAACAAAGATCTCTTTTCCATCATTCACTAATTCTGACAAAACGGCAGACAGACACACAAGTTAATTAGATTTTTAGTTAGGTACTGGCAGACTATTATAATATTTGCCTAATCATCACATCATCAGCCTATAAGTGCTTACTATTGAGAAAAGGCGTCTCCTAACACGGAGAAGGTTTGTGCATTAATCACCACGCTTGCTCACGATATTCCATCACAGGGTGTCGGAGTTGGCTAAATAATCATAGAAGTTCATATAACTCGGAAAAAGTCACATTGGTACTTGCTAGGTTTGAAACCCGTTCCCTTTTGCATGAGAATAAGTCTAACCTGAAGAAGTAGTATCTGCGTAGTTTTAGCAGATAATCTGTACACTTACCGGTAAAAGGTTCCTTCGTATAGTGTATGTAGACATGGTATCCTGGTGGGATGATACTGACGGTGGTTTCCACTTCCCGAGCAATGTGCCGCATCGTCATGGCATACCCTGTCCCCTGGGACACGTGTTTGCTCACAATTTTTGGAGACATGGTGTAACAGCGACCCATGTTAAAACCCATTACTGGTATTAATTCCACATCTGTCGAAAGTGATTTAAAAAATATATTTCTTTTGCGTTGCCTTATCCTAGGATGTCATCTCGTGTCGTGAGTGCGTTTACAAACATACACAAGACACCTAGACCCAAAACAACAATTTGTTGATCACACAATGAGTTGTTCCGTGCGGGAACCGAACCTGTGACCCGTTGCACAGCAGCCAGTTGGCCTGCCACTGCGCCAACGGTGTAGCCTTAGAATGCACAAATATACAAATAATGAAAAAACACTTACTCAAGTGATTTAGGTAATTGTGTAAAGTTCTAGTAGTTTCAACTCCCAACGAGACATTTATCACGATTGAAAACAAAAACTGCTCCAGACAACCAGATCAAAATCACATTCAAATTATTTACCGTAAACCGAAGTGAATAGATGTAACCGAAATTTCCTAGTATCATCATCATCAGCCGGTAAACGTCCACTGCTGGACAAAGGCCTTCCCCTTAGCCTTCCACGTCGAACGACAAGTTGCCACCTGCATCCATTGGCGAAATTGCCTAGTTTAACTTAATTCTATTCACCCCGTTTTACATTAATGAGATTTTTGTTCAAAATATCAAATATGATTAGCAAATTTGCCATTATTATAAACATAATCAATACTGATGAATGATGTCAAAATAATATATAAGACACTTACTATGGGCGTATCCCTCAAGACCGTACTGCACAAATATGTCGTTCGCATTAAACGTGATATTGTCCCACACCTCGTCCAGATTATTGTTTTCAAAATCAAATTTTATCCATTCCGATGTAATCGAAGGGTGACCGTACAGACCGTATTCCTGAGAAAAACTTCATTAAACAAAAGTGCATGTAAACATTTCTAACGATTTTTGAAACAGCTGCCGCAATTTTATGTCCTGCACCCGTTAAAGTAGTAATAGTTTAGATTTTTTTGTGGCAAAGGACGGCAAACTAACTGACGGATTACCTGATGGTAAGTAATCATCACCGCCCATGGACAACAACGGAGGCGTTGCTGTGCATGGGCTGCGCTCCTCTTGAGCCTCTTGGGGATCTCTGGGGAGTTTCGAGATTTGGACATTTAGGTATTGGGGGAGCGTGGGTCTGCCACGGCAAGTAAAGGTAACTCGCCGCGCGACTAGAACCAGACCTGAGCTTAGGTAGGAGGACCACAGACGGGGCCCTACAGGGTTGATGTTCAGCTGGGGTTGCGGGGTAAATGCATTGAAGCACTGCGGCCTTAAAGCAGGAGAAGAATCGGGGCGGTTTTTAGTCAGTAAGAGCCTGACTTCATTGATGTCATTTCATGATTCACATGATTTTCCCCTCACAAAAAAGTACTAATGTATACGACAAGAACTTATAAACCTGACAAAAATTCTTATGACCATATAATTTGATCTGTTTTTGACATACATAAGTAGGTATTGAGGTTCTTAAAAAACATATTTAAATCGTTTCATACATTTCTGATTGTAATTGGTTAATAATTTGGATTGTTAATCTTCTTAGAAGGTCGTTTTGTCATGAAACATGAACATGAAATCGAAGTTCTTACTGACCTTAATTTTGTCATATTTGTAGGGCGGGTCCTTGCAGACCGTGATGCTGGGGTAGTCCAGGGTCTTGTTGAAATCGAAGTGAGTGTAAGTGGTAATAGGAATGTCTATCATCTTCTGTACACTTGCTATTATCTGGAAATATATTACTTGTTGGCAGTTTTTGGGCTAGTCTGCACATATAGATGTAAAATTTGTGTGTCTGAAATTTCATGTAACAGTGCGCCTTGGCCTCCCTTATTCGCACACTTCATTTCACATGCACTTTATTAATTTCTTGTTTTTTGAGAGCGTGTCTTACGAGTCTGTCTTACGACAGGGCAGAGGCTTAATAAGAGGTTTTGCATAATACATTTTGATATATTTTTTTGCTATTTACATACCTGTTGCAGAACAATGCCCACACATACTATAACGACGAGGGTTTTTATCAAATTTGGACCTCTAATGCAGTCTGAACACTTCTCTCGTATTTTCCATCGAGGGTCTTCCACCTAGGGTGATTAATTAAATATATTAGCAGTCAGTCAGTTATTAGCATATTATAAATTTTCAAAAGAAAAGGGAAGATCCTTTTTCAATATTTAAAACTGACTGAACCGACTGACAGAAATATCTTAAAGGCAAATAAATCATTTACTGACGTCGTAGTTACTGTTATAGGTATCTACTTTCTTTTTATTCTTATATTTATGTTTCATATTGCAAAAGAAGTAGTATTAAAAGTTCGTTAGGGAAAAAACCCTTTTTTATTAGTCGTTTCACTTTTACCAGTCGTTAGAAAAGTATTCTAAAAGTAAAATATTTCACGTTTTGGTTCAATCGCAAAGCAAATAAGACACGTGTTATTCGACCTTTAATTAAGTGTTTAATATTACGATATCTTACACTAATTAGAGGGGAGAGATTAGACACACACTACAGCCTATGTATTATTCAAAATTCTCATTAAAATTTATTCAGTACCTTTTAAGTGAAAGAAAAAACATTGACTGGATGTTTTTAAACTTTCCCGTTTTTACTTATATTTAACGATTATAAAAAATAAAATAGTTGCCATACCTTTTCCACAACGCTCATATTGTCTCGATTTTTTTTCTATTCTATTTTTCCATTTTCTATCAGAACACAACTGAATTTCCCCCTTTTACAGAGATATATGGCAGTATGTGGCCATGAGGCTCCGTTGTCCACGTGCTAATATATTGAATCGTAAATAGTATTATAAATATTATAGATAGGGCTTATTGGTGGCAAGCGAATTATCTAATGGCTGGATAAGGGAGTCCTGTTCAAATTACATTACATCATTTTTTGGTTTTAAGCTTGACTGCTCGGTTGGTGCGGTGACTGGGCAAGTGGCTGCCGTGCAACGTGTCGCGGGTTCGATTCCCGCACGGAACAACCCTTTGTGTGATCCACAAAAATTGTTGTTTCGGGTCTGAGTGTCAGATGTGTGTGACATTGTATGTTTGAGAAAAATCCTAAAGTGGGGCAATGTTTTATATAAAAGAAAAAAAAGCAGGCGGGCAGCAAACGTGGAGACGAAACCTAATGGTTTGGAAACGGTTTTTTTTGAGGTGGGAACATCTTCCACTTTCTTCTCTTATCCAGGGTTTGGTAAGAGTGTCAGAATTTACAACTAACCCCGCCCCTCGTACTCCTCCGTTCCTTTTCCTGGTCCAGGCCGAGACCGTGGCTATACATGCATCAGGCCTGTTGGGTCCATCTGTGGTGGTATATTGGCTGTTTGAAGCGCGCGCGGAACTTAATGGAGCTTTGGGAGCTGCAATGGTCCAGTTAACTGACATAACCGGCAAATTAAAATGCAAGCGTTATTTCTAGTAACTAAATAAGAATAGTAATTATCTAACCAGTATAGACTAGTTCTTTCGCAAAATTAAAATTCAGCCTCTAATTAGAAAATAAATACTGTGGCAATGTTTTTTTGCCATACAAATAGTTACAGACTGGTGCATGGAATATTACTTTCATTTAGAGTTTTACTTATAGCGCCATCTATGTTATTTGTAATGAACTTCTAATGAAGTTTATTTTTACTCACCATAGATGTCGCTAGTAGTCTAATCGTGTATTATTCATAAAGGCTTTTTACTTCTCTATGGGCTATCTGATGACCGACGCCCAGTTTACGTTGCTGAGTACCTGCCTGTTAGCTCTAGAAAACTTTTTTACCTAGCACGGGAATTTTCTAAACAGAAGGGTTACAAATATTGCTGGACGTCGAACGGGAACATTTTCATCCGGAAAGAACCAGGAGCAAAACAAGTTCTTATTAGGTCTGAGAAAACATTAAAGGATCTACAGTCGGTAACTAATCAATGACTAACTTTCAGAGTAACTAATAATTTAATTGTAATGTTTACATACATAACTTTTGCTAAAGTCTTTAAATTTCCGTTTAAATATAGTTATTTGTATTGCTCAAGCAGTTCCCTGCTACTTATTGCGATAAATAACCAGACTAGTATATTTAACTGTTTACTTATAAGAACTAACTTATCTTATTATCCCTACTTACCACGAAATCACATTTACATGTACTTAATAATTATAAAACAACTCACACAAATACATACACTAACACACGTTCAAACAAAAACACTGAAAGAACCTAAATATCTACATTTCACACTACACTACCTATACTATACCCTGTTACTAATCTACATATTAATTGATAGATTATCTGTTAGATCTCGTATACGCTATTCTTGCTACACAAGCAAACTAACAGGACCTACAAAAGTACACCTAGCATTAATCCCCAATGGCTAACACTGCTGAAATTATTGACGACATCGACAACACAGATTTCACCTCCTCTTTGACACTCGAATCAATCGATGAATGTAAGGTACATCTTGGAGATCTAAGTAAACAGTACACTGTAGTAACACAGAACATACGCAGCATAAAAAAGAATTTCGATGAGTTCTCTGTTCTTTTAAATCGACTGCTTTTTCGTCCTGACATAATAATCTTAACCGAATGCTGGCTCGACAACTCACCGTTATCTTATGAAATTGATAACTATAACTGTCACTCCTCAAAAACATACTTAAATCAAAATGACGGCATCGTTGTTTATACCGACTCTTCTCTCCAGGTTTCCATAGTAGAACCTCCTTTTAAGGACTCAAACTGTTTGCTTATTAATGTGGGTAATGAACTTTCTCTCATTGCCTTATACAGGTCTCCGTCGCATAACAATATAGATAACTTCTGCGATTCCCTGTCGACCATCTTGTCCTCTTGTAGAGCTGATACATGTGCTATTGTTGGTGACATTAACATTGATATTACAATTGGTCACACTGACAGACGTGCTCCCGATTATTTAGATATAACTAGCCACTATGGCTACTTTCCAGGACATACCTTACCTACACGTGGGGACAACTGTCTTGATCACGTTATGCTAAATACTAAGAAATCTGCTACAGTTATAATTTGTAAAACTGGCATAACGGATCACGAAACAATCGTCTGCGGCATTCACAGACAACAATCAAAGACCTGTACTGAGCAAACGCGCACTCACATTGACTACCCAAATTTACTCAAAGACATTGAGTTGGAATCCTGGGATTGGCTTTATGAATGCACAAATGTCACGTATGCATACGAACAATTTGTAGAAGTGCTATCTTATAAAATAAATTCACACACCAACAGATACACTTCGCGTAGCTCAGACCACATTCTAAAGCCCTGGGTAACTAAAAGTTTACTGAAGTGCATAAGGCGTCGAGACCTTATGCATGTCAATGCAAGAATAAAGGAAAACCGTAATAATCTTTTAATACAACAACAATATAAACAATATCGCAACTACTGCAATAATGTACTAACCAATTTGAAAGTAGCCTATGACCGAGAACTATTAAAAAAATCTAACGGTAATTCCAAAAAATTATGGCATGCAATTAAAAAAATATGTAACATTAAACGTAAAAAATCTGATTGTAAATCTGAACTTATAACAAATAGTAAAATCTCAAACGAGATATTAAATAACGTAAACAATTATTTCTCTAGCGTTGGGGAAAAACTGGCAATGCAAACACTTGACAAGCTTGGTCTAACTGAAACTGAACTCGCCATACACAACGAGCAATACAGCACCGTTCACAATAGTCCTGATTCATTCTTTTTTGCTCCGACTGACGAGAAAGAAATTAATAAAATAATCACACAACTCAAAACTGAGTCTGCCCCCGGTTATGATGGTCTAAATAATAAAATCATAAAACTCTGTTCACATGCACTAGCTGCACCAATTACCTACCTGTGTAACTTAAGCTTGTTCAGTGGCACTGTACCTGAATGCCTAAAGATTGCTATTATCTGCCCTATATATAAGGATGGGGATACTAAAGATCCAGCCAATTATCGCCCAATATCGCTATTGACAGGACTCTCCAAAATTCTTGAGAAAATTGTTAATAAAAGACTTTTAACTTACCTTGAAAACAAAAACTTGCTGTCGGACAATCAGTATGGCTTTCGGTTTGGTAGGTCCACGGAAGATGCAGTTACAAATTTAGTTGATAATATAACGCAAAATTTAGACCAGGGCCACGCATGTACTGGCGTCTTCCTGGACCTAGCAAAAGCCTTCGACACTATATCCAGGAAAATCTTATTAAGGAAACTTTCGTACCTGGGAATCCGTGGCACTGCTCTGGAATGGTTCAGTTCTTATCTCAGTGATAGAACGCAAAAAGTGGTCTTGGATGGCCAATACAGTGATCGGACTACGGTAAACTTTGGCGTGCCCCAAGGAAGCGTGTTGGGGCCTACTTTGTTCGTAATTTACATTAACGGGCTATGTTCAACTACACTCCCCCAGGCTAAAATATTTACATATGCCGATGACACCGCCATAGTCTTCAGTGGTAAAACTTGGGAAGAAGTGCAAGCCTGCGTAGAAACTGGGCTTCAGGTAGTGGCAAACTGGCTTCAACACAATCTGCTAACATTAAATATTATAAAAACCAAAGTAATTAACTTTGCAGTGTCGAAACGCTCTGCCCCAAGAGTTAACACTAACCTCCAGCTACATTCGTGCAATAGTAACAACAGCCGTTGCACCTGTCCACATCTGGATCAGACAGATTGCCTCAAATACCTCGGTGTTCATTTGGACAACAGACTGAACTGGATGACACATCTGAACTACCTGAGCAGTAGAATAAGGAAGCTGGTATACATCTTTAAGCGACATGGCAAGATTGCTGATGATACAACTGTAAAAATGGTGTACTTCTCCTTGTGTCAGTCTGTTGTCCAATATTGCATTCCATCGTGGGGCATTTCTGGGAAAACTTACCTTCTGAATGTGGAAAGGGCGCAACGTGCTTTGATAAAAGTAGCATACAGGCGACCATTTCGGTACCCCACTGATCAACTGTACTCCGATGTGTCAGTGCTAAGGGTAAGACAGCTATACATACTTGGTATTACTGTACGGTTCCATAAAACTTCGCTGAACCACTGTGCTCAGAGTCACTCTCACCGGAAAGTAAGATGGGACAGAATTAAGTGTTATAAATCTATAGGAAGAAAATCTTTTGGTTTTATGGGACCATACATATATGGGAAAATAAACAACCTACACAATATCATCAAAACAACCAAAAATAAATGCAAAAAATTAGTGACTCACTGGCTCCTTACGCTGAATTATAATCAAACGGAAGAATTTATTAAAATCATAGAGTAGATGTACGCATACAAACACACACACACACACACAACACATACACCACACCACACCACACACACACACACCCCTCACACACACACACACACACACACACACACACACAAATTGTTGATTGTTCTAGTTTAGGTTTTAAGTACTAGAATTAAGTTTTTTTATTTTTATTTTATATAAACGGATCGCAGAGCCTAGGTCCTACAACACAGGGAATCCTAGTGTAGGATCTAGGGTATAATCATAATGTAAAATACTTTTTAGTAATAAACAATTTTTCATTTTCATTTTCATTTTCACTTAATTATACAACAAACGGTTAGTTTCTATGTTATGTAAATATACATAACTTACGTGTTAGTAAAATATTGCACTTGAATATGTAATCGTGTATAATCG